GGGGGGGAGAAGGAAAGAAGATGAAAAGAGAATGTTAATTCACAGCAGACGACGGAAAACGAAACACAGAGACCATGAACTGGAGACACGCAAAATCACGGCCCGGCCTTCAGGGCGAGGTTTTGCCATCAAACACGGAGGACGGCCTGCTGGGACGCTCTGCACTCGCTCAGAGGCTCTCCTTCCCTTTTTATCATCTCTCTGTACACCCCGGGGTTCGAGCACCTGGCACGGCGGGTGGGCTCTCGAGGTGAGCCCTGGATTAAAACTAACCCCAAACCTTGTGATGAGAGTGGAGGGCAGACCTGCTCTGGTCATGGGGGAGGCCAAGCGGGAAAGAGGGCGGCTGTCTTTAAGAGTGGTGCACGAGGGAGAATTTTGCCAGGTGCTGCTTCTCAAAGGAGGGTGATATCCCGTCTCCTGGCCGGCTCTTCAAAGGATGAGTGCCTTGAGCTCCCCTTATCTTAAGGATTTAAAAATTCATTTACACCCCGCCTTTCTCCCTAATGGGGACCCAAAGGGGCTGACGTCATTCTCCTCTCCTCCGTTTTATCCTCACAACAACCCTGCGAGGTAGGTTAGGCTGAGAGTGTGTGACTAGCCCAAGGTCACCCAGCAGGCTTCTATGGCTCAGGCGGGGATTCGAACCTGATACTAGTCTGACACTCTTAACCATGGGAGCTGGCACTGATTCATACTCCGTATTTATAAAACACTCAATAATCTTGCCAATAATAGGCCTCCTGGGTCACAGCTCTGCCTTAAGGGTCAGAAGTCAGCACTCCCGGGCAGATCCCAGGACCCCCACCACCAGGCCCATAGCTACAGTGGGGCTTCTGGAGGCTCCGCCCCCTCTCTTAAAGGCACAGCCCCACAAGAATTTTTCAGTCATTTAAAAACGTTTTATTAAAGGTGTGCGCTCCTTTACACAGAGTGGGGTGCTGTGGTTGGCTAACTCCCAGACTGAGCAAGGGGGTTGGAGTAGGTGACCTCTAGGCTCCCTTCTAACTCTGGGTCAAGAATCTGATCTCCTTGAAGAGAGTTTTTTTTCTGCCTAAGTGTTCGCTTTCTTGACTCTAGAAGTCATCACCCCCACCTGCCTGCTTGTCATCAGGATTGTTGCTTAGGCTGGCAGAGGTGATTAACTTGCAGCAGCTGAGAACTGTCATCTCAAGTGGTTGACAGCTTGCAGTTTAGAGATCTATTCTGGTACCAGCTTTCTATTGGCAGCTTTTCTTTCTGCACTGTGAGAACTTCAGCCCCACCAGGGGAAAAAATTGCCCCACAAGCCACAGAATCCTGGCTACGGGCCTGCCCACCACTGTGCAGTGGCACTGAACCCGCCTCCCCTCTCCTCTGTAACAGGTAGTCAGAGAGCGTGCCTGCAGGCAGCTGATCTTAGCAGTTGGCAGCTGCTTATTCACCTGGGCAGGTGAGTCAGAAGCGCGGAAGCCGGCACTGTTTGCTCTCTCTCCTCTTCAAATTCAGGGCTGTACCTGGGTGGGGACCCATTAGACAGTGTACCTTTTATTCCGTTTCCCGCAAAAGCAGAAGTGTCCCTGTCCGCTGTCACGCGAGCTTTCCCTGTTGGATTAAAATCCCTGGTCTCACTGGGAGGAAGTGGGGCTTGGCTGAAGACATCCCCTGAGCGCATTAATGTGTGCCTGGGGAGGAAACCCCTAAAACCCGCTTTGGGCTCGACCTGGATGGCCCCGGAGAGCCGGTTCTCATCATATCTCAGAAGCTCAGCAGGGTCAGTCCTGGTTGCTGCTCAGACAGGAGACCGCCAAGGAAGTCCAGGGCCGTGTTCCCTCTAAGCTGAGTGAGTGTGAGCTAGCTCACCGTTTTTTAGCCTCCAGCTCACAGATTTTTTCTTCTTCGCTCCGGAAGGAGGGCTCCAGAGAAAACTGATTGACGCAGCGGCCAAATCGCTCGCTCACCACTTGAATGCCAGTAGTGCACAGAGTAGAATTTTTGCTCACAAGACACTCCACAGCTTAGAGGGAGCATCGGTCCAGGGTTTCTACACAGAGGCAGGCGATGGCAAACTACCTCTGTTGGCCTCTTGCCTTGAAATCCCTGGGGTTGTTTTTTTTTGCCGTAAATCGGCTGTGCCTTGACAGCACTTCCCACCCTCAGAGATCCCTTTTACTGCACCAGATCTCCCTGGAGACCTAGACAGCAGGTCAGGGGAGCAGACCGAAGCCGAAGTCGAAGTCTATCTAAAAATCTCCCCAAGTGTTCCAAGAGGGCAAGAAACCCCCTAGAAGTCACTCTTACCAGCGGCTGAAGTTCCGTTACCTAAAACACGTCTCTGGTTCCTAAGCCAGGAATGACAGCTGCTTGAAGCCCCAGAAGTAGCCGCCCCCTAAAAGGGAGGTGGGCGGAGGGGTGCATGCAGATCCAGTCTCCTTGCAGAAAAGAAGCAGGGGAGGGCACGCCAAGGCAAAAAGAGAAATTGGTTCTCCACTTCCTGCTTCCTTGTATAAACCACACACAGCGGCGGGAAGGAAGACCGCAGGAGAGGGGGGAAAACATTACCGCTCTGATTGGCAACCAAGTTAACCAATCAGGGCAAATCCCTCCCCCCTTTTCTTCCAGGTTGTGAGTCAAGGTGCCTGTTAAGGGCTCGAAAGAGGCAGAAGTCAATTATGTGCCCTCGTAGGGTTGCCAATCTCCAGGTGGGACCTAGAGACCTGCTTTTACAACTGATCTCCAGACTGCAGAGATCAGTTCCCCTGGAGAAAATGGCTGCTTCGGAGGGTGGACTCTATGGTCCTAGACAGTGTTCCCTCTAAGCTGAGTTCGTGTGAATGAGCTCACCGGTTTTTTAGCCCCCGGCTTTTGTCTTAGCTCAGGAAGGATGGCTCCAGAGCAAGCTAAGTTTATGCAGGAGCCCAATCGCTTGCTCACAACTTTAATGCCAGTAGCTCACCAAGTAGAATCTTTGCTCACAAGACTCCACGGCTTAGAGGGAGCATTACCAGGGGAGGCCAAACTGTGGCTCGGGAGCCACATGCGGCTCTTTCACACATATTGTGCGGCTCCCGGCAGGGTGGCTTGGGAAGCGAAGGGGAGGCATGCCTCCCCAATCGGTCGTCCCTTTCGCAGCCAGTGTTCCCCTCCCTGGGTAGGCTTGGGGGGGGCAGAGAAAGAAAGCAACTTTAACTTTAAATGCATTCTCAAAGCCCCCCCCCCCCGGCTTGGGAGAAGGCATTTGTCTCTTTAAATCCCTTCTCCAAGCCAAGCCACCCGGCAAGGGAATGGGTGGGTGGGGCTTGGAGGACACATTTAAAGTTATATCCATTCTTACCCCTTTTGTTTTTATTTCTGGCCGTCTCATTTAATGTTAATGAAAAGCAAATCTGCATATTTTCAAATAAAAACACGTCATATTTGTAAATGTATTCTCAAAGCCTCCCCCTCCCCGCATCCAGCTTGGGAGAAGGCATTTCTCTCTTTAAATCCCTTCTCCGAGCCAAGCCAAGCCAAGCCAGCCAGCAGGGGGTGGGTGAGTGGGGCTTGGAGGATGCATTTTGAAAAGTACTGGGTTCGCCGCATGGAGGACTCGGACAATGACATGCGTTTGCACAGGTTTACTGTACTTACCACTGGAACTGAAAAACGGCCCTGCAAGGCCAACTATATACACACCCACCCAGCACACCCACAGTCCCGTTGGAGGGTTTTAATTTCCCGCGAAAGCTGCTATTGGTTAATGCTGGGGGGAACTAGGATCCTAGGTTCCTATTGTTTAAAGGAGCTAAGCTCCGACTCTAGCCGCGGACGCCTGGGGGCGGTCCGCATACATAACACATTTAAAGTTATATCTGTTTTTACCCCTTTTGTTTTTATTTTTGGCCGTCTCATTTAATGTTAATGAAGAGCAAATCTGCATATATTTTTCAATAAAAACATGTCATATCTGTCCATGTCTTGAGGCTCTCAGACATCTGACGTTTATTCCATGTGGCTCTTATGTTAAGCAAGTTTGGCCACCCCCTGCTGAGGTCCCTCCCTCCCGTCTCCACCTGCAAAATCTCCAGGGATTTCCCAAGCGAGCGCTGGCACTCCTAGTGTCCCTGACTACCAGCAGCTCTCTGTTGTTGTTCAGTCGCACAGTCGAGTCCGACTCTTCGCGACCCCATGGACCAGATCCCACCAGGCCTTCCTGTCTTCCGCCGTCCTCTGAAGTTGGCTCAACTTCATGTGCGTTGCCTCGATAACACTGTCCAACCATCTCATCCTTTGCCGTCCCCGTCTTCTTTGACCTTCAATCTTTCCCAGCATCAGGGTCTTCTCCAGTGAGTGCTCCCTTCTCATTGGGTGGCCAAAGTATTTGAGCTTCAGTTTCATTATCTGGCCTTCCAGGGAACAGTCAGGGTTGATTTCTTTTAGGATTGACTGATTTGATCTTCTTGCAGTCCAAGGGACTCTCAAGAGTCTTCTCCAGCACCATAGTTCAAAAGAATCTATTCTTCGGCGCTCGGCCTTCCTTACAGTCCAACTCTCGCAGCCATACGGCAGGGGAAATCTTTGGAATTCCGGAACGGGAGGTGCCAGGGACTGGAGAAGCAAAGGCGCCTTGAGCCCGGGAGGAGGGGGGCGGTATAAGACTCAGTAAAGGAATAATAAGGCTTAGAGTTGCCAACTCCAGGGTGGGAAATTCCTGGAGATGGGGGTGGAGCCTGAGGAGGCTGGGGTTTGGGGAAGGGATGGAACTCAGTGGGGCGCAACGCCACAGAGTCCACCCTCCAAAGCAGCCACTTTCTCCAGGGGGACTGAACGCCATCGTCTGTAAATCACTGGTATTTCCGGGGGATCTCCAGGCCCCGTCTGCAGGTTGGCA